GATGAAAATTATGTAAAATTTGAAAGTTGAGAGACAAAGGCTGGCATTTAACCTTTTTTAAAGTATAAACAGTGTTTTCCTAATCGAGAAACTGAAGTGAAGTGTGAAGTCCACATAACTTTGCGTGGAATGACCAAAAACTCTCGAGCACTGAAAGGGCAAAAATGTAAAGGACTGTGCTTTACGTAGATGGTGATAAAATTCCTCGCCGAAACGTTCAATTCACCGTTCAGAGATTAAAAAAAAAAAAGAAAAAGAAGGACAAAAAAAGGGAAACATTCGATTCAGATATCGGAGATCTGGAAGCATCTTTCCGAAGAAATGAGCGCCGCCGCCTCGAACAACTCCAAGTCCGGCAGTAACCCTCCCAAGCCTGTCTTCTTAACCAAAGCTCAAAGGGAGCAGTTAGCCCTCCAACGCCTCCAGGAGCAGCGTACCCAAGAACAACGCCGCCTCGAACAGCTCCGTGCCAACTCCGACTCCTCCAAGCCCTCACCCGATCCCGACCGCCGAGACCGTGACCGCGATCGGGACCGGGACCGGGACCGGGACTGGGACAGGGAACGGGAAAGGCGAGAGAGGGAACGAGATTCCGAGCGCCGCAACCGGGAGCGCGAGCGCGAGGAGGAAGCCAAGGCACGAGAGCGAGCACGCTTGGAGAAATTGGCGGAGCGAGAACATGAGAAGGAGTTGGAATCGATTAAAGAGCAGTATCTTGGATCTAAGAAGCCTAAGAAGAGGGTTATTAAGCCTAGCGAGAAGTTTCGCTTCTCTTTTGATTGGGAAAACACCGAGGATACTTCCAGGGATATGAATTCTTTATACCAAAATCCTCACGAGGCTCAGCTCTTGTTTGGGCGAGGGTTTCGTGCTGGAGTGGACCGAAGGGAGCAGAAAAAGCTCGCTGCCAAGAATGAGAAGGAGATGCGAGAAGAGATTAGAAGAAAAGAGGGGGTTGACGAGAAACCGGAAGAGGCTGCTGCCCAGAGGCTCAGGGAGGAAGCTGCTGATATGTACGATACATTCGATATGAGAGTAGATAGACATTGGTCTGAGAAAAAGCTGGAGGAAATGACTGAGAGAGATTGGAGGATTTTCAGGGAGGATTTCAATATTTCCTATAAGGGATCCAAGATTCCTCGGCCTATGAGGAGTTGGGGTGAGAGTAAATTGAGTCAGGAATTGTTGAAAGCTATAGAGAGAGTTGGGTACAAGAAGCCGTCTCCAATTCAGATGGCAGCGATTCCATTAGGGTTACAACAGAGGGATGTGATTGGAATTGCTGAAACTGGTTCTGGGAAGACTGCTGCTTTTGTTTTGCCTATGCTGGCTTACATTTCTAGGCTTCCTCCAATGAGCGAAGAGAATGAGGCTGAGGGGCCTTATGCTGTTGTCATGGCACCTACTCGAGAACTTGCGCAGCAGATTGAGGATGAGACAATGAAGTTTGCACATTACTTGGGTATCAAAGTGGTGTCCATTGTTGGTGGACAGTCCATAGAGGAACAAGGGTTTAAAGTTAGACAAGGATGTGAGGTTGTAATAGCAACACCAGGTCGTTTGCTTGATTGCCTGGAAAGGAGGTATGTTGTTTTGAACCAGTGTAATTATGTTGTTCTTGATGAGGCTGATCGCATGATAGATATGGGTTTTGAGCCCCAGGTGGTAGGTGTGTTGGATGCAATGCCTTCTAGCAACTTGAAACCAGAGAATGAAGATGAAGAGCTTGATGAGAAAAAGATTTACCGGACAACTTATATGTTCAGTGCTACGATGCCACCTGCTGTAGAGAGGCTTGCTAGAAAGTACCTGAGAAATCCTGTTGTTGTTACCATTGGCACGGCTGGAAAGACCACCGACTTAATTTCCCAACATGTAATGATGATGAAGGAATCAGAGAAGTTTTGGAGATTGCAGAAATTACTTGATGATCTTGGGGATAAGACTGCTATTGTTTTTGTTAATACTAAAAAGAATGCGGATACGATATCTAAGAATCTAGATAAAGCTGGATATCGTGTCACAACTTTACATGGTGGGAGATCACAGGAGCAGAGAGAAATTAGCCTCGAGGGTTTTAGGACCAAGAGATACAATGTGCTTGTTGCCACTGATGTTGCTGGGCGTGGTATTGATATTCCTGATGTGGCTCATGTCATTAACTATGATATGCCTGGTAACATTGAAATGTACACACATAGAATTGGAAGAACAGGCCGTGCAGGGAAGACAGGTGTGGCCACAACATTTTTGACTCTTCAGGACACTGATGTTTTTTATGATCTCAAGCAGATGCTTATTCAGAGCAATAGTCCTGTTCCTCCTGAACTCGCAAAGCATGAGGCTTCAAAATTCAAACCAGGAACAATTCCTGATCGTCCTCCTAGACGCAATGACACTGTTTTTGCTCACTGAGAAATTGGTATTTTGATAAACTTTAAATGGTGAAGCAATTGATTTTATTTTGCTGTCATGTGGTATCTTAGTAACTAAAGCATCATTCCTAGTTGTAGACAAGTTACTGAGTTTGTTTAAACTTTAAAGATTTTAGAATTTTGAAAGCTTAACTCATGTCTTTACTTTTTTCTGTTGCAGCATTGTTAAAATCTAGGTTATTTGCTATAGGATGACATCTTGGTTGGAATCTGTTGTGAAACTTATGAATTATTTTTAATGCATTTAACTTGTTGCTGTCTATATCTTTACTTTTTAATATTTATATTTTCTGTACATTTTATGTGGTAGTGTCTCTAAATCCTGTTTCACCTGGCTAAAGCTTTGTAAAAGTACTGTTTAAGAAGTGTTTTAGTGGAAATTTTGGTATGATGCTCATAGGTCTTTTTAGGGATTGATGCTATCTCATCAAAAACAAGTTTATCAACTTTCAATGTATGCTGTTTTCCACAGGCTTTGAATCTGGAGCTTTAGGGTCCATTTGGTGCAGCTTCTCAAGTGCTTTAGCTTTTTGATACCATTCATGTTTCATAAGTTTAAAATTCCCTCCTAAAAACTTACATTTTAAAATATTTTTTTAACCTTAAAAAGACCTTAAACAGTAAAAGATCAAAAGCTTCAAATTCAAGCTTTTCATAAACTTCCTTTTTACTCACTTTTTACTCATTTTTTACTCACTTTTTCCTATCTCTAAAAGCAACTTTTAAATTTTCCCTCCAATAAAAATTTAAACTTATCACTCATGAATAGTATAAAAAAAAGCAAAAGCTCTAACAAGCTACACCAAACAGGCCTTGGTCTCTAAACTTCCTTTTTTGCTGGCTTCAGCTTTTAACTTTGTAGAAACTAATTTCAGTTTCAAGTATAGCTAGAAGACCTTTTTTCTTTTACATGTAAACCTTTTTTGTATTTTAAGTTCCCACTATGAACAAACGCTTGTAGAAGTTGATGCTCATGCTAGAGGGTTAAGAGGTATTTGAAGCAATTAAAATTGGATTTGTTGCTTAGCTTAGCTGGAGAATTTAACTTATATTATTTCAAAAGGAAAATTCATATTAGTAATTGGTGATACTATAGTTGCAGAACCAAAGCATAAATGTCTGTAACAACTGCTTTATTGTAGATATTATGTAGAAATAGAAGAGCATTATTCGGTGATCATTAAAATTTAATGATGCTTATGTGACTTGCGAAATAAAACGTGACATAGCAAACCAGTGCTTTTCAAGTAGAATCTTAATCCTGTGTTGTGTTTGGTAGCGAAGGTGAAAGTTATGATTTTCCTTTTTTGATTGTATATTACCATTTGCTGAACCATTTTGGAGGTGGGATTGTCTAATTGGATAACCCAGATGTTTCTTCTTCCAGATGATGGGGTTATGTGTTAATGAGGGCATGAAAAGATAAAGGTCAAGAACTGGGTTTAATCTGCTTCATTTATTGGGTGGCTAATTCATACTGATATGACTGAAGGTTAAGGTGAGTACCATAACATGTTACCATTGGCAGACAGATTAAGAAATTGAATATCATGCTGACTGATGGTATGATTCTAATTCTGTTAGTTGTATTGACAAGCTCTTGGAAGGCACATAAGTCCCATGAATATGCTGATTGGTACTTTTACTGTTAGCATTGTCTACTCCATCATCCTGAGGTTTTTACTCTTTATTTTACAATTTTCATATTTTGGATCTTGTGGGAAATTGCATACTAGATTGAATTTGTTCCCTTTCCAGTTTTTGCGTGTGCAGAAATATTGTCCTGGTTTTATCCTTCTAACCTTGGAAGAATGCATATCTTCCCTCATTTTCTTATATTCTTTGGTGTTTGGTCATTAACAAATGGGAAAACAAATTGATCAGATTATGTTTACATATGATTTAGTCACTTATTGAGGATGTGCAACAACAATAAGGAGAATATATTGGGTATCTGTTTAAACAAGCCACTCTTAGTCTACCCTTTCCTACCACTTCTTAGGAGGGAGAAGTTTAAAGGTTTCTGCTACTGCTTTGTTTGCTGCAAAGTTGAAATTGACTTGTTTTATGGCTAATAGGTGGACTTGTTTTGTTTTATGGACTTGGACTTCTTTAATTGACATGGCTCTGTTTTATGGATTTGTTTTAAGCTTTAATTTATGGACTTGGCTTTGCCTTTGTTTGCTGCAATGTTGATTAATATACTAAGGTGATTCAAAAGCTTTTGAAGGAATTATATTATGTGCTCGTTTGGTGTGACTGAATCTTTTAATAGAAGTTACGTGTTGGAAAGAAACTGTTGTAGAAGTGTTATTTTTGTAAATAAAAAAAAAAGAGGATAAAATAAGAATAATATATTAATTTTATTAAAATTCAAAGGAAAAGTTTATGCAGAAGCACCAATTCGGTACTTTTGAGATTTGCAATAAAATGAACAAAATATTAATTTATGAAAAATTATAGTTTTTCTAACAAATTATAGTGTTTGGTACAATTGAAGTTTTTGAAGTCTAAAAAGATTTTTTACCAACTGTACCAAGCATAACTTTGGATATCATCTCAAAGGCTGCAAAATATATTAGCCTAGGTTATTACCGTTTAGCATAAGTGAAAACGTGTTTTGTTTTGTCTTGTCAAAAAGACTTGAAGATGATAAAATTAATTTGTTACGCGGCATAAGTTATTTTTCCCGGTTCTTCCTCTCCATTTTCACATTCACATTTCCGTCATTTGTTGAAACTTTCGTTAAAACCTTGAAGAGTAGAGAATTCATTTATATACATCTTCATTATTAATTTATTTTATTTTTGATAATTGATATTTATTATGATTATTTTTTGAACTATTATGACTTTTTAGATAAAAGAGAATTTTTTTAATAAATATAATAAAAAGTGGATAAATTTTAATTATTTAAAATTGAAAGGTAAATAATTAAAATTTTTAATAAATATGATGTGTAAAATTTGTATATAAATGGATTTTTACTAAAATTGTCTTACCTTAAGAGTCTAAATGGATTTATTTAGATGATAAAATGAGTTTCAATTCAATCTTCATTTTATTAGAAGTTTAAATTTAATTTTGAGTAGCACAAGTTTTAAATTTTGAAAGATAGCAGTCGGGTATTCATTAGTAAACTTGTTACGTTATGGTATGACAGAAAAGATCTAAAAATCAACGAAAATAGAGCATTTTTACACTTTTAAATCTTTGCCCGAGTTCTTCTTTGCTTTGATATGATAAGGAAACCAAAAAATGTGTTTTTTTTTTTTTAAACAGTATACATTGTGGGGGTGGGGGCTTGAACTTTAACTTAAAGCCGGAGAGATGCACTTTTCAAGTATGTTTAAAGCCATCAGACCACTAGGTCCAAATGCTACAATAGAAGTTGACAATACTAGCTTTTCTACAATATGATGTGACATTATTATATATAGTTAAAGTTCCTTTTTATTATTAAATTCGACTATTAGTTTATGTAAGATTGTGTCACGGGAATATTGTAAGCAAAAACTTCATATTCCATTGAAAATGGTTCATTTGCTTCAACTCAATAACAAAACAAATATAGTTAGCAAGATTGATCCATATTTCACCCCCTTCACACTTCAATTTTGAATTGCAAGGCAGTGTTGGTTTTCATTCTTCATTCCTCACGTCTAACTCTGACATGTGTTTAGGAAATTTAATATGTGGGCAGATTTTGTCAACGATTTAAATAGTTTAATGGTAATTTTTTTTCGTTGAAAATAAAAGCTTTTGAATTTGAGTTGCATAACATACAAGTGTGATGAGATAAAGAATGACAGAGGATTTTCTTCGATATGCAATCAACATTAAAAAAAAAAAAGTGTGGGCAGATTTCTAGCCAATATGGGCCATTCTCTGCTCATATTTTTGTGCACTGTTTGTTTCAATGCTATCCTTCTAGGTTGTACATGTTTTTGTATGCTGGTATGAACTGGCCTAAGTTCTCCAAATTCTAGTGTAATTCTGATTTTGTTTTGGTAATATAACTCTCCTTTTCAAAAAGAAGAAGAAGAAGAATATTGATCCATAAACAATATATTTGAAAAAGAATTTCTCTCTTTTTTATTCAATAAAAATCAAGAATAAGAAAGAAGGCTACCAACCACAAGACTAACTAAAGGAAATTTGCGGATTAAAAATTTTTACGTTAATGGTATACAAAAATTTATTTATATAGTAATTATTTATAATTTTTACATATAATTAAATATATATATAACATTAAAAATTTTATAAATTAAATATTAAATAATAAAATTGTTTAAAAAAATTATATAATTAAAATAAATTAGTGTGTATTAATCTTTATTTTAAAAAAAATTAAAATCTTAAATTTATATTTAAAAATTAAAATCATAATTAAAATTTTAAAATTTTAATTAGTTTTTAAATTTAATATTAATATTTAATAAAATAAATTTTTAAATTTTTAATTAATTTTTAATTAAATAAAACAAAAATTTTATTTTTATTTTTTTAAAAAGTAAAAAATAATATCCATTTTCCCTTAATAAAAATTACCTTTTAATTATTTTTTTAAAACATATAGGGGAAGTCATATCAGATAACCCCCTTTACAGGGCCCATATCATACACGTGGCATCATAGGTGAGGCATGCGACTGACGCGCAGGCTTCTTGCTGACTTGTACAACTCTAAAATCGTTCTATCTTCCCAGACGGTTCTTTCGACTACCGTTAGCCCGATGCGCAATACACCCCAACATTTCCGTCCGTTAACTAACGTTAAATGAAAATTCATAATTCTTTTTACCGTTCATATCCCTCAAAGTTAATCATTATTACATATGTGTTCCAAATAACTGATCGCCTCAAGAGGGACTCTTTCGTAATTCAACTGCATTCGTCCGTGGAGTGCAGCGTACACCCAGTGTATGTTAGCAGCAACAACAGACTGCCGACCGGACTCCACTCTCTTCTGTACCCCTTGCAAAAACCGGCTTGCTTGCTGCCCTCTGTGACCCTTTGTTTTCATTTTCTATTTTTGCCATTTTCTCTACATATTCGATCTCTGAAAACCCTAGAAAAAGCTCACACCTTTACTCTGGTTTTCTGCTTTCTAATCTCCAAGCTTTCTACTGAGCTCATTTTCTTTCTAGGGTCTTCACGATAAGCAGAGTTTTCCTTCAAAAACGTAATGTCTGTTCCCTTTTCTGATTTCCATGGCTTTTAGAGCGTTCTTTTGATTCCAAAATCTCATTTTTTTAGCAGTTTGCAGAATATGGAGGGGATAATGATCGTCCGGAGGAAAGCATGCAAGAGGGTTTTGGAGGAAGACGACGGAGACGTCGAAACGAAGGTATACCGGTTTAAAGTTCTGTTACCCAACGGGACTAGCGTGGAGTTGACGTTTCGTGATCCCCAGCCGGAGATTGCATTTGGTGAGTTCATTGAGCGGGTAAAAGACGAGTACAATGTTGCTAAGCGACAGTCTGAGTCAATGAGGAAGAAGAGAACGATTAACTGGAATGGCGAGAGACTGTATCTGGAGGATGCGAATGACAGAAAGATGAGTACAAGAATTGATTTTGGGTATTTCAAGCCGCATAAACGCCATATTCTACGGCTTCATGTGAGTATTTTGTTCGTTATTTCATGTGTTGGAACGAATTATCCCCTGTTTTTGTTTCTCTCTTTCTTGTTTTGACCAACTGGGTTTGTTACTTGGGCTTACTTATTTCGTTTGGTTTTTTTCCCTCACAAATTAGGATGGGACTGGAGAGATTGTCAATACTTTTGAGGTTAGTGGAATTCTTGTGCATTACTATGGCAGAAATGCTACTTGCAATGCGTTTTTTTGATGGACTCTCTGCGTGTAGAACATGTGGGATTTGACGCCCGATACTGACTTGCTACTGGAACTCCCGGAAGAGTACACCTTTGAAACTGCGCTAGCAGATTTGATAGTAAGCTGTCTGATACAGCAGTGGAACTGAATTTGCTTGTTTGCTTAATTTTTTCTGTTTGTATAAGCGCTTATTATTGTCTGCTGCATATTTTACCAGGATAATTCATTGCAAGCTGTGTGGTTAATTGGTGAAAATGATAGGAGATTGATTAGGTATGAAATTTTAGTTGATGGCTAGTTGGTTGGTTGCTCTTGGCTTATTCTTTTCAACTTATTTGATTGTTTTCAGGTTCAAAGTATTGACATGTTAGTTGAGGATGATGTCTTAATGTATATTGCAGTGTGGATATTCTTCCGGATAGGATTTTGATTTTTGATACTGGCATTGGAATGGACAGCACTGAGGAAAATTCTATTGCAAAGTGGTATGTTATACTAATCCGTTTCTGTGTAATTTTCTTTGTTTCCGCTTTTCAACATACTTTATTGAATTTGGTGGTTGCTTCTTCTATAATTGGAATATGCTGAAGTTTAGGACTTTTAGAAGGAATGTTGCATCAAGTGCTACAGGAAAGAGCTTGCTCTCGACTGATATTTTCCTTTTTAATTATTTCTATCCTAAAAAGGAGAATCAATGCTTGCAATAACCACTATCTTGTGGAATTTTCTTGCCTATAATGCAACCATTTGATTATATGACCAGAAAGGAGTAGGTTTGAGGCTTAGTATTTAGGATATTTCTGAAGTAGTTGCGTGATGGTGAGTAAAATAAATACATTTATTATACTTTCAAATATTACCTGTCAACAGGTGGAATAAATTTCTTTTCCCTCCATTCTCACTAATTATTAATCTAGGATTATGAATTTTTTACTTTTTTTATATAATTTTGCTGATGTGGTTTTATCCCTTTTATTTAGGGGAAAGATGGGGGCCTCCCTTCACAGATTATCTAAAATTAAGGGGATAGGGGACGAACCCCCATACTTAATGGTAAGTTTGTGTGAGCATTTCTAATGCAAGCAAATACAACAATAGTATCTCTGTGTGCAATTCACCTAAATGGAATGAAGTTTGTGTGACTATCTAATTTTTAGAACCAACTTTATTCTCTTGTCTGCATCCAAAGTAAGAAATCCAAAGAAGAGAGTTTTTCCATGAATCCTTTTATTTCAATCTTTAATTCTACCAATCAAAATACGCTCTTTATTACCTCCACTTATGGCTATGGTAGCCAGTAGCTCTTAAGTAGAAAGTATGCTTGCAATGAGTGTAATAAATATGCTCATGCTATAGTCGTAACTGTCACTCTTGATTTGATTATTTTATGATCCTGGGATCTTAGCAGGATCTCCTAAACTTTTGATTTCTTTTATTATTTTCCAGCTGGTAGGACACAATGCGAGTTTTACGTAATAATGGTTTTCAATGTTCACAACCACAAGATTTATGTATTTGTGTATACGTTGGCATACTGGATTAGTATCAAATAGGGCTTGGTCCATCTCTCTGTTAATGGGAAGCCAATTCTTATAAAGTACTATTGCTCCATAATGGATAAGGAAAATTCTAACATTGAACTGCTAGCTTTTTTAATTTTATCAACAATATGATGTTTTGCGTTAAAAACATATATTTGTATCCTTCTTTAAATATAAATCAACCAGTATTTATAATCATGGGGATCTCATTACCAAGTCCTCATTTGTTAATTGTGCCTTTAAGGTTTTAGTTTGAATAAAAGATAGTGAATGCTGCTACTAGCTTGGGATTTTTGCTTTGTGACTATGCAGCCCTTTTTTGGCATGTTTGGATATGGAGGACCTATTGCATCTATGCATTTAGGGAGGTATGGCCTTCTGCAAAGATGTCCTGTCTTTTTTCTCCTACCTATTACACATTGGTTGTGTAATTATTCTGATTATTCATCTTTTTGTTTATAGGCATGCTATTGTTTCCTCCAAGACAAAAGAATCTAACAAAGTTTACACATTACATCTTGAAAGAGAGGCTTTACTTGGTAGTACTGGTTCTGAACTTACTTGGAGGGTAATCTTTGGCCACTTAATGGTTATAAGAATACATTTCACATGTGCTTTCTGATTATTCTGTTTCATCTTTCTATGCTTTCTGACATTGCCTTTTCAATTTCTGGAAAGTTCACATTATATTAGTGTTATGTTTATAACAGACAAAAGGCGGAATGAGAAATCCTTACAAAGAGGAATCTGGAAAATCACCTCATGGAAGCTTTACAAAGGTGAACCCTTTTTATTCTATAATTTCTTGGGATTGTTTCTAGCTGTTGCTTTCATTTAACAAAATTCAATATAAGTGAGTTTCATGCATGCTTGTTTATGATTACAAAATATATAAACAGAGCTGCTGTCAACCAAAGTAAAGGTGGTAGCTCTATTTCTGGCTAGAGCCTACAATTTACAATATTTTGCTCTATATGCTTGTTTATGATTACATGCTTGGTAATGTTCTTGCTCTGTTACTTCATTGATATGGTTTTCTGGTATTGCAATGTTTTTGTCACAAAATCTGTCTATCAAGGGCATACATTACAGAATAACTGGTTAAGAGGTTTATTTTATTTATTTGTATGCATACTGCTTTTTTAATTGTAAATGGATAAATGTTGGACAGGTTGAGATATTGAAGCCTAGAGTGAAAGAGTTGGACGTATTTAAACTGCAATGCAGACTTAAGGACATTTATTTCCCCTATATTCAGGTATGCTTGAAGCAGTTAGCCGTTTCATGGTTATCTAGTTGCAATAATTAAAGTACACAAAGATCCAGAAGTATATTTTTCTGAGGTGTTGCCTTGTTGGTTTTAATTTACCAAAGGGATGTTTCCTTAGCCACTGCATACTTGTAAAGATGTTCTCTTAATCTCTATTGTAGATTCCTACACTTATAGATCTATTTTTTTTATTGTAATTTTATAGATATTCTTCATTGCTTTTGCCAAAGTAGTGCCATTTTGAAATTTAAGAAAAGTTACAAGTTTTTTTAATCTATAGTTGACTAATTGCACTTGGGAGTGGGGATTGTGGTGATGCCTACCTGCAGTAACTGCTTACAGTTTTCTTTGGTATGTAGTAGACTAGTTGGGACTATATGGTAATGTCCGAAATGATCACTTAAAAGTCTCAGACGTCTTTTGGGCATCTTCAAATTTAAATTGTTCATTCATCTATTCAGTTGTTTGGCTTTCTCTTTTATCATGTTTGGTGTATCTTTTAAGTGGGAGAGACTTAGTTAATTCAATTAGTACTTCTTCTTTTTAAGTTACAAGTTTTTCTGCTTTGTTCCTTATTATCCACCCAATATTATAAATGTGGGGGAACTTTAATTATTTATAATGTATTCTTTGTTGGCTTGCAGTGTGATGAGTTGTCTGAGGGAAAGACCACTACACCTGTTGAATTCCAGGTTTAATTTTATTACTTTTTACTTGTTCATGAAATGGGTCAATGCAAATTGCTAGGGTTGGAATCCTGACTGATAATATTTTGCAACTGTTTATCCTTTAGAAGAGATAAAAAATAGCTTTTGCAACTATTGTTTTGTTTCTTGTTCCATTCTGAGGTAGAGCGACACAGAGACATAGGTAGATAACTAAATAACAATGGAGTCAAGAGGTGAAAGAAGGTTAAAGACATTTCTTATGTATATGCATTTTCCATAAATGGTTTCTTGTTGTTGGGAGCTAAACTGACTCATCTACTATTAAAATTTCTGGATAATGGGTCAAGTTGTTTTCCCCTTTAGTTTTAATTGGTTTGAGAGGTGGGTGACACAGTTCTTATGGCACACAGAACCGTCCATGACCTTTTTTTAATGTTAGTAATTAGAGGGATTATTTTCCTTTACAGGTGGATAACACTGATTTAGCAGAAATTGATGGTGGAGAAGTTGCAATTACTAATTTGCTATCTTGTAATGGTCCTGCATTTACTATCAAGCTTCATTTTTCCTTTAGAAGTCCAGGTACCAATCATATCTACTGCTTTTTTCTACCTTTATAGATTTATAGCGGTACACTGGTTGTCAATTAAAGTTTCTTGCATAGCTTCGTGTTTCAATTTCTGATACTTGATATCTATCAGGTCCAAAGACAATCCGAGTGGCAAATGCACGCCTCAAGTGCATTTATTTTCCCATTGTTCAGGTACAAGAGTGGTTCATACAACTTTTTAGATTTTATGAAAATTAACATTGTGTGTTACAGGGAAAGGAGAATATTGAGAATATTTTGGAGAGGTTGAAAGATGAAGGATGTGAAACTGGAGAAAATTTTGAAAGCTTTAGCCGTGTCTCTATTCGGAGACTTGGTCGTCTACTTCCCGATGCTCGCTGGGTTAGTTTTCTCTCTTATGTCCTATAAAATTTATAATTCTAGGAGCCAGCACTTGTTTAAGAAGATATTGTTATGGTGTAACTCAAAAATGGAATGGTAATCAATTGTTTGAAGAATGACATACTAGGCAGTTTTCAATGTTGCTGTTTATGGATAAAAAAATCACCTGCTTATCTTGCCCATATCTCTATAGTTAAAGAGGCACTGTGTCTATTTGAAAATGAAATTACGAAATAAGAAGTTTATAAGCCTGTTACTTTGGGAGAAGGGTTGCCTCCTCACAAAGGGAGTTGCAGTGTTGTTTATGTATGAAGTTGGGACTGTTGCATTTGATATGTTACTTTTTCTTCTAAAATCTACCCAGGAATCTAGGAAGATATTCTTCACTTTTTTCACTCTCTAAATAAGTGACAAACTGTAAATGATTTCTATTATTGCCTATTATATTGGTATAATTTGTGTGTATCCTGTTTATGAAATTAAAAAATTTAACCTAATGACTAAACTGTAAACTTCTTTGACTATTCTTATAATGTTTCTGCTCCACTACAGCCATTGCTTCCTTTTATGGATTTGAGGCAGAAAAAGGGGGAAAAGTCCCAACTATTGAGGAGATGTTGCTTACGAGCTAAGTGCTTTATTGGTAGGTGATTTAGATTTGTGAGAACATGTCTAGTGTGTATTTCTTTAGATTTATGAGAATATGTCTAGTTTTCAATTTCAATTTGTGTTTTCCTTTCTCTCTCCCCTGAAATAGCACTCTGCTTTAAGCAAATGACATTTTGGTTGCAGAGACTGATGGAGGTTTTAATCCTACTACTTCAAAGGTAAAGAATAGTATAAAATTAATATTTATTTGTAGTGAAAAATGGATGTTTCATGTATTACCATTGCATGTTGATTGGCCTAAGGATGTGATGGAGGACTTGATGGCTTGTTTGTATCAGGATTTATCATTATTGCCTAGATAAGTTTTTAAAATTTAGTTTTTTACAACCTTTTATAGCTGAAAGGAAAAATTTGGACTAAAACTTTTTTAATTTATTGCCATCTGGCATGTGGCTTCATGCAGTTACAAGCAGAAAATTGATGATTAATAGAGCTTAAGCAGGCATTTCTGTTATTACTAGAATCACTACTAAAGGACATGTATGAAACATATGGATGGTTCATTTGTACATACAATTTACATGCATGCAAGAACTTGGTCAAGCTATGGTCTTACACTGATTGTAGAAAGAGTGTGTCCGGAAGCATATATGTTTAATCAGTCCACAAAATTGCTAGTTGAGATGCTCCATTGTCTTCCTTATGAAATGATTTGAAATGTAATCAGTGATAATGAGTTGATTCATTATTTTCAGACTGATCTTGCACGCCATAGTCCATTGACTACTGCTCTGAAGAACATAGGCAGTAGGACTCAGGAGAAAGGTGAAGTCCTTGCCATGGAATCCATTTCAAATATTTTTTATCCTTTATGTTTCTCATTAATCAAACCAACAATTTCAAATCTTGTAGATGTAAGTGTTGAAATTTATAGAAATGGAAAATTATTAACTCCATTGCAACTGGAAAAGGAGTATCAAGATTGGCTTCTTCAGATGCATGATCATTATGATGAAGAAACTGGCGCTGGTGGGGACCAGCCTGTTCTTGTTGCTGGTCTGAGAAACAAAAAAGCACTCGGCATTTCTCAAGATGGTAAGCAGAAGTTATGAATATCTTGATTCATCATCTGTATAAATTATTGACTTTTTTTAAGAGAAAAATTGACGACATAGTTCATAAGCAGATAAACTTGTTTTTTATGTTCATTATCACTTTCAAACCAATTTAAGCTGTACATATTAACTTACTTTTTCCTTTTAACTTTCAGTTGTAAGGGTTCATAAAATTCTAAAGAGGCGAGGAGTATCATGGACACAGGGCCAGAAAATTAAAATTCTTAAGGGAGCATGTGCTGGAGTATATAAGAACAATATCTATGCGACATTGGAATATTTTTTGATTGAAGGGTTTGAGGGGGATGCTGGTGGTAAGTAGTAGTCATTCTAATAATCAAAAACATTTTATGGCTGACTTACTATGCTGATTTTAGCTAAATTGTTGTTAATTTGACAAGTCTGACCTTTTCTGTCTCTTTTATACAGGGGAGGCTCGAATTATATGCAGGTAAGTTGTCTTCTTATTTTCCCATTAAATATTATTAATTTTTTTACTTTCTAATGCCTGAAACATTTCTCAAGATTTTATATCTTCTGCTTTGAATTTGGCAGGCCTATAAATGTTGCAGATGGTAATGGCTGTCTGCTCTCTGTAAATGATGAAAATGTCAGTTTAGATATTCAAAGCTCTCTGTCTGTGCCAATTAGTGTGGTTGATTCTGGAAAGGTCTGCCTCTTTATATTATTTCAATGCCTCCATAACTTTCCTTCTTTTACAATGTGATTTATCTCTCAGCTATTGTTTCTTTTTGTTGAACCTTGTGCAATTTTCAGTGTCTAGTGGTTGATGATACTTCTTGGGAGTGCCAACTTGAGAAGGAACGTCAGAAAACACCCTCAGCTATCGACTTGCTGAGTGCAAAGCACTGTAAAGAGTTGGGGATCGATGGGGTTAGTCCTATTTTGTTGTATGTTTATATTAGAATCTAATTGCTTCATCATTATTTATTTTGTCTGCTAAGGAAGACAACAGTCAAACATTTTTGAAAGATTACAGATAGGAAAATTAGATATTAAGATTCCAAATTCTTCCTGTTTCTCTTTGAACAAGAATCTTTAAGCATGAGTAATTTATTATTCTTGAATTCTTGTTTCAGGCTCTACCCATTGATGATGCTACTGTTTGTGCTGGACTTACTCCTCCTAATGAAATTGTTGCTGTTGTTCGTCCAGCAAGTTTCACTACATCTAGTGCTTCAAAGTACCTAGATCAAAAGAACATTATAAAGCATAATTTGAACATGTCAATGAATATCTGTTTTAAAGATTATAAGAAAAATTCCGAAGACACTCATCTTCAGTCGAAATGTATAAGACCTTCATCCCGGAAAGGTTTTGATGGTCTATACATCTTTACATTAGGTTCCAAGTCACCTAACTTGTTTGAAAAAGCTGGTGTTTACAAGTTTTCATTCTCTATTGTAAGTAATTCTTAAGATTTCTTATCATGTTTTAGAGTTTTTGTCTTACAATCTAATATGATTAAGATAGGCTTCTGGTCATACAATTAGCTTGGATGACATTATGTTTTGCATAGATTGATTCAAATTGCAAAAGCTATGAGAAAAGGCTGGCAGTTGTTGGCTCACCTAAAGTTGGAAAGTGGGAGCTCTTGGGTGATGAATCGAGTCTGTACAGGATAAGGTATGATTACCTTGGTTACTAGGCCTTTTATTTTTCTGGTAAAGAAACTTCTAACCATAGCCATTAAGACATCTTTGATCTTGTCATGATCTGTTCCTTGACTTCTAGTGAGATATGGTAGCCTTTTATCCTTTTCATATTTTTAATTTTGTTTTATTATCCTGTCATGTGGTCACATTCGGAAAAGTGTTGGTTTGTCTTCTCAACCATTCTCTGTTGCATGTTATGACATCTTTTACGATCGGATTCCCTTCTCCTCCATCCTGGACTTGATCAAAATTTGTACGATGGAGGTTTTGCTTATTGATGTACCCAAGATGAAGGTAGAGCTTTCTCCAGATAAAATGATTCTTAAGATTAAGGTTTGTTCCCCTTACATATGCTTGTGCCCTTTCAAAGACATTGCAGCTGCTTGTGTATGAATGAGCATATCCTTCTGTTATTGGTGAGCATTTGTTCCACATTCTCTGTTTCCTGTCACTGCAGGATGTCATGACAATATCTGACCAGTTGGATTTGATACGGCCGAATTATGAAGCAAGCTTACTTATATGTCCAAAAAATGACTCAGCATTTGTTTCCATTCCATGTCAAGGTACCACAGTCGATATTAATGAATGGAGCATGTGAAAGTGTGGCTAGAAGATTTGAGTTTATCTTTTTTTGAACATTAATAATGTTGGTATTTTCATGTATTAGTTATGCCTGGAAATCTCTGCCGAATTACAGCCTATCCACCAAAACTTGGCTATAAGTTGCTGCCTGGTTCCACAATTAAGCAGCTTAAACTAGAGGTGGAAACACTTTCTTGGCACAAGTACCTTAATATTTAAATGTGAATAACCATTTCTAATAGGATGGTTATCTGAGATTTTGGCCAGAACATTTATAATGGTCATGCCTTGACTAACATGCCAATGTGGTTTTTTTAGGTGTTTGATATATATGGAAATCATGTTATACAAGGCTTGGAAGTTCAAATCAAGGTGGATGGATTTTGTATCCAAGGTCAAGTAGACTCAAAGCATAAGGTCAGCATCATTTTTGCATGTAGTATTAAGTGGTTTGTGCTCTTTTGTTACACTTTGGGTGCTTTCACAGTAAATTTTGGAATTTCCTATATTACTGAAGAATGAATAAAAGGTTCAAGGGAATGATTGTATAAATAATATTTATGTCTTAAATCTTTCTCTTTCTAGCCTGTATTGTAGACTGACTAATAAGTTCTTTTTACCAATCAAAAGTATCTTCACTCTTTATTTTACTTTCATCAGTATCTTGATTTTTGTAATTAGTTAACAAATTTTCATTAACACGTTTAATTAAATGATGAAAACAAAACTGAAGTGGAAAGCAATTGGATCATTTTGAAAGAGGTTAGAGACCTGATTATGATTGTCATACAGAGGGAGGAAGACCGACTGAACCTTAAAAATGTAGAGTAGTTCCTTGCAATTGATGTATATTTAAGTGCTAAAGTTGAATGATGATGGTTTGTTTTGCTTTTTTTTTTTTTTAAGAAAAGGAAAACATTTAAAATAAGAGAATTAATTGTTTTGACATTTAGATTGTTTTTTATGCTCTGAATTAATTGTTATAGTTTTTTATGCCCTGAATTAATTGCTTGACAAACAATTTTCCAAATGTAGGTGAATGATCAGGGATGCATTGACCTTGGTGGTCTGCTGACAGTGACGGCAGGATTTGGAAAAACAGGTAAACACTTTTAGAAGGCAGGTTTTTTCTGTTATTTCTTAATACTTTTACCCATTTTATCTTCAAAATTTTGGAATATTTGCAGTCAATCAATCTTTGTTGATAGTTTGACTTTTAATTATACCTGTTGTATAATATCATTTTGCTTAGATGTATATTTGGTGCCGATGATATATCTTCATCTGGAAAAAGTCTGATGCAAACAATATTAAACATGGTCAAACTGTTTCGTTGGTTATGCATGACTTGAAAATTTAAGACTTGATGACAAATCTTTAGGTTTTCTCTCTGTCTTTGGTTATCAGGTTTCTTTGCAATAACATAGTTCAGAACTATCATAAATTAGGCTGGAAGGCTTATTTGAAAACCAGATTGATAGAAAATTTATTGTGGAAGTAAAAATTATGATAGCTGCTTGATTTGATTATAAAGACATTAAGTTATAATAGCAACTTCATCGCATCCAATGTTCCCTTTTTCAGTTTTTAGCTGCTTTTTTACGTTTGATAGTATTATTTTGAAATTGGTGCGTTATTTAATATTACCTTCTTTTAACTGCAGTATCACTATCTGTTTTATCTGAAAATGAAGTAGTTTTCCAGCAAGATTTTGAAACTGAGGAAAGGCAGCTAAGAGTTGCATCAAGGGTTAGCAGTTCAAAATTCTGATTCCTTTCTTGTTATTGTTTGTAGTCCCACCCCCCCAAACCCCAAAAACTGTTTTCATTACTTGTGTCTGTCTTAACAGGTGCCCGACCATTGTACTGCTGGTTCAAAACTGGAAAATCTAGTTTTTGAAGTTGTTAACTCCAAAGGTGTTACTGATAGGACCATTCACGATGATGAGCAATTTGGTCAATACCATACCCTCACTTTAAAGTCAGATTATTTTAAGGCAGAGGATACAATCCGGTATGCATTTGTGCAGGGCTGCTGTGTTGTCCCCTCTATTGCCATTCCTCAAATTGAAGGGCCCTTTCACTTTATAGCATGTCACTCTCGTTACACAGAGCTCCATCTTAGTATTCAGGTTGTGACAGATTTGTGGTGATTTTTCTTTTGTGATGACCAAGTTCTATATTATAATTGTTGGGTTCTGTTAGCAGGTCTTGGTTAATCGTGCACCTAAAGGGGAGTCTTATGAGATTGAGTCTCCATGTTCAAATGGGAAAATCTTGCTCCTGCAGCACACAGCTTCCGTTAAAAAGGTAAAGAGCTTAATGTTTAGAAATGATGAGAAGCAATACGCTTAATTGTCTGCATTTTCAAATATGGTTGCTTTTCATTTTTGCTCATGGACTTCTTTTGCACATAGGGGCTGTGGGATGAACTAGGAAAGTATGGTGAGCGAATTGGAAAATATGAAGACATGAGGAAAATCCTGGACAGCAGGAAGGAAAGTATTGAGCAAGGCATGTCTTTGTTGCCTGGTAGTGACTCTTGCCTTTTTTTTCTTTTTTTGGCTGTTATTGTTTGTTTTTCATATAATGTTGTCAACATTGATGACGCTTATGGTAGAAAATATAAGATTAGTTTGTGACTGTACTTATGAAAAATCTTATTTATTTACTTGTTAGTTTCGTCCTTAGTTTAAAATGTTTCATTTCTAAATCTTGTTAGCTTTAATTAAACACATGATATGGTGAGAAGTTTTTTCTTGCAGTAAATAATTTGTCTCTCTTCCCCCATATTAATTAATGTTTCTTATGTCTTGCCTGTGTATTAGAAGGTAATATGACATTGAGGAACTATCATCTATGAAATGATGATGAACATGTTTCCATTCATTGTTCTCTGATTCACATTGTTCCTTACCAATCTTGTTTATTGACTCAATCCCAGTAACTCCGCAACCAGATTTATTGAAGGGTCTCGACTGCCTGTTTACAGAAGAGGAAATGATTAAAAGGATTAAGAAGAGAGCTCATTCTGCAGCTGCAGTTATTTGCAGTGTTTCTCAAGAATTCCCAATTGAAAATTCACAAATTCATTGCATGGGAGATGTGATTGGTGTGGTTGCTCTTCTTGGAAAAGTTGGCACCAATGCACTTAGCAGGTCATATCTGCTTTTGCTTTCAAAATTGACCTGAAATGAAGTTGTAAATGTTGTACACTTAATAAAACTTATTCTTTCTAATTTTGCAGGATATTAGCGGAGTTCTTGGGTGAAGAGCAAATGCTAGCTGTGGTGTGCAAGTCCCTTGCGGCCACAGATAATCTTGAGAAGCATGCACAGAATGGACAAGTTGATCTCGAATATGGTCTCCATGCAAGAGCTGCTGCACTTGGAAAGTCTATAAATGGCAGATTCCTTGTGCTTTGCCTTGAGGGTATAAGGTACTAGATAGTGTTTCATTGTGCTGTACCTCACAATCTATTAAATGAAATATAAACCTCTAATTTGCTTTGCAGGCCCTACAGTGGACAGTTCAAAGATGCTGGTCCTCAGAGGAAGCTAGCTTTGCCTGATCCTTTACTGCCAACTGGAAATACTCCAGCTGGTTTTATGGGCTATGCTGTTAACATAATCGACCCAGACCTAAGAACAAGTGCTGCAGGACATCCTTTGAGGGAAACTCTCTTCTATAGGTTGTTTGGTGAGCTCCAAGTCTATGACACCAGGGAACACATGAAAGAAGCTCTAGCTTATATAAAACACAGTGCTGTATCCCTGGATGGAGGAATTTTGAGGGAGAATGGAGCCATATCTCTTGGGTATTGGTACGTACCTCTCTTTCTCTACCTGCAAAGCAATGGTTCGTAGTAATATGCTGAATGACCATTCAAATCAATGTCTATGAATATGATGGAAAAATAAATTGGCATGCATATGCGGAACCTTTTTATGCCATCTATATATCAAGACAATCTTGCAATTGAGTTTGTCAACTATGGTGGAAAAATAAATTGTCATGAGATTTATGGAACCTTTTTTGGCCATCTATATATCAAGACAGTCTTGCAATTGAGTGTGTCGATTAGTATAATGATCAAGTATGAAACAGGAAAGTGACTTTGGCTTTTTTTTTTTTTTTATAATCTTTTTCCCAGCAATCCTGAAATATGTTTCCCAGTTGACATGCAACTTTCCCCAGAAAACAAGTTGGTCTTGAAACGTCTTCAACAGGTTTACCACCACATAGAAGATGTTGACAGAAACCATGAGAAAGTTCTCAAGAGGTTCAACAAGACGAAAAAGAAGCTTCAAGAGCTAATGGATCTCGACGAGCCTCAACTGAATAACTATTACCTGGAATACCATCCCATCCTGAAAAACAATTGAAACACTGCTAGGTTCTTGAGAGTTATGCTGTTGCCCATGCCTGCATGGTGGTTATAGGTAGACAGGCAAGATTTATAGTGTCAAATCTCACTGAAATGACCTATTTCCCCTACAGCTGGAATATTTAGAGACAACTTCATTTATCTGAGTTTGCATTCATATGATTATGTACGATTATGTACTCATCTGAATTTCTGGGTGTAATTAGTTTTTGATATAATTTATAACATGACCTTATGGCAGGTGCTGACTCCATTTATCCTTGTTACTATCTTTTTACCTTTCTTCCATTCCAAGCATTTTAAATTTCAGAATATCATATAGTCAAAGGGGGGAATGATATTTGTCCGGTGATGTTATTGTCATACCTTTAATTATTAATATCATATTTTTTTTTATTTTAATTGATTATTATACTTTTTAATTTATTAAGAAACAAAAAAATGTAAATTTTTGAAACAAAGGGTAGTATAAGGGTATAATAAGTAACATTTTAAAAATATGATATTAATAATTTAGAATGTTGCAATAATCGCATCCATATTTTTCAATTGTTAAAGAAAGAAATTGTTGTTACGCAAAAATTATTTGAAGTGCCAATCAGAATAAGGTTCTATAAAGTTTTATAACCAAATCCGTTAGCGATAATAAATCTAAGGAAAAAAAAAAAGAAAAAAAATTAGGTTTTGTGTGGGATTGCTCTGTTGTTTTTATGTTTTTAGCTTTGGTTTAGCAATCAAAATTGACAACGAGAAATCAAAATAAAAAACTGAATCCAAAGTTCACGAAATTTGAAAACTTGTTTAATTAAATATGTTTATTTTAATCTTGTGTAGTTAAATTTTTATAATGAAAAATAAAGTCTCCCCTAATATGGAAAATGACTTTAATATTAAGATGTGCATCTTTATTCAATAATTAATTTTTTCAGTTTAGATTACATTAAATATTTTTAAATTAAAAATAAAAAATAGTGGAGTAACACTTATAAATTATAATCATGTTAAGCTTTTCTTTGGTATGAGAGCAACTTCAGGGATGGCCACCAGTTCTGGGAGGTATAGGGATGGCAATTTGCTCCGATTTCCATGGGGTTCCACTACGATCTCTATCACGGGGTGGGAATAGAGATTAGGGGTATTTTTCTCCAGTAAAATTATGCGAGGATCCCTATCTCCATAGAAAATTTAAAAAATATATAAAATAATTTTATTTTAAATTTTATTCAAGCCATTATAGCAATATATGATATATTTCGAACCCAAACACAATTCAATAAAAATTAAACTTAACCCAAATATGTTGGTTTAGTTATTTATGTTAGATTAATTATTATTTATATTTGGAATAAGTCTTTTGGTTTAACTATTTATGTTAAATTGATCTCTATTTATGTTTAGATAATTTATATTTTATTTTATATTTAGAGAATTTTAGTTAATTGTATTTGAATTTTTAAAATTTTGTTTATTATAATTACATATTGTTAATTATATGCAAAAAATTTATATTTTAATATAAATTGGTAGGAAATGGAGATCCTTGGAGAACAAGAATAAGGTAAAATTTATCTCCTATCAAAAATTTCCGTAGGGCCTCATCTCCCCCATTCATGGGGATGGGATGGGGACATGGACAGGAATAAGAAGAAACTCCCCAATCCGACGAGATCCCATTGCCATCCCTAGTGAGGTAAGTTCCTCCCCTTTTTGTTCTTCGGAATCATAGGAGGATCTCTACAAGTAATGGGGATGGGGGCCAGTGTTGTCAAAGGCAAAAAATGAGGAAAAGGGATACTCTAAGAAATGCTGAAGCGACGAAGCAAGAAGAAACAAATCCACTGCTTCTTTGAAGTTAAGCAAGCAACAACATCAATACATTAAATTACGACGCATGAAGATCATATTTTTCTAGTAAATTGCTAGAATTGATATGAACTTGAAAAGGTACAAACTTCTAACATTGCAAATAAATAAAATTGACTATGTATTCCTTAAAATTTGTTTGGATACTACTTAGGAAGAAATTAGGGTTAGAAATTAAAAGATAGTATACTTTAGAAAAAAAAAAAAGAACAACAAAAAAATGAATAAAATTTCTGGGACTCCTGACTTCTTTTTTCTTTTTGCCCGAAATGGTACTCCTGCAAATCCTCTATTTTTTCTCTAAGCCAAAAAAAAAAAAAAAAAAAAAAA